GACTTGACAAAGACGGGAAGCCCCTACTTTCTAGAATGACTCTTAGTAAACCCACAGGGTCAACTCCCATTAAACTTACCTTGAATATAGAACACCCTAGTCCAAGGGACGCGGGGGAATATGTGATGGGGATGTACTGGAAGGGAGGTGGCTCACACAATGCACTGGGGACATTCTACCTACAAGACATGCTCACCTCCCCCGACTGGGTGGGGACCACTCACATGATCGTTAACCCGTTAAAACCACATATTAAGACCCTACATGACATGGTAGCTATAGCCAATCCCACCTTTGAAGACACTATGGCAGTGGAAACTGGTTTTTCAGACACTAATTTATGGCTAGAATGGATGAGGTATAATGCCAACTCACACAATAAGACCAATTGTTACGTGTGTGGAGGAGCCAGGCCCCATCTGGGCACAGTTCCTCTGAATTTGCCTCCTGAAGTAGAATCATGTGTTCTGAGCCTTTACACACAGTCCGTCACCAATTCCTCGACATGTGAATCATGGAAGAGAATTTACCCGATCACTCACGGACATGTAAAACCACCTGATGGAGTCACCATCTACCCAGGTAATTACACATGTTATACAATATCTAAAAACACCGGTTTATATCTGGGCAAATTCCCATCAGGGTATTGCTCAACTTACCATAATCCACCCGTATCACTGCTAATGAATCACACAAAGACAATCGGTGATATCTATTGGTTATGTGGGGATAAACAATTGAGGTCCCAATTAATTGGACACTGGTGGGGGGAGTGTGCCCTAACTAAAGTCATAATGCCTATCCATATCATCCCAGATGGTGACCATAACACATTAAATCTCACACATGTACACTCTAGAACCAAACGAGAGACTCCTATTCGAGGGAGTTTCGACCCCCATGTGTATATTGATGCCATAGGTGTGCCAAGGGGGGTGCCTAACGAATTCAAAGCAAGAGATGAAGTGGCTGCAGGATTTGAGTCCCTAATTCCAATGATAACTGCTAACAAAAATGTCAATTGGATTAACTACATTTACTATAATCAACAGCGTTTTGTCAACTACACTAGGGATGCCCTACAGGGCCTGGCAGAGCAATTACAAGCCACTACCCAAATGACATTTCAGAACAGAATGGCCCTAGATATGATTTTAGCTGAGAAAGGGGGTGTATGTAAAATCCTCCCTGAGACCATGACATGTTGCACATACATTCCAGACAACACTGGGCCCAATGGTAAGGTGACTATGGCCATAGAGAAGCTAGATAGTCTTGCAGACGAGCTAAAGAAAAATTCAGGAGTCACTGACACTTGGGACAGATGGTTTGGATGGATGAATGGTTGGCAAAGGACCCTCTTCCAGGTAGGGACAGCTGTTCTTATAATGATCATCATTTTCTTATTTCTAACCTGTTGCGTACTCCCTTGCATACAGAAGTACTTACAAAAAGCAGTAGATAAGACTATAGTTGACGTGACCCTTACTTTCCTACATCAGGACGTCACAGACCTCGAAGATGACACACCACATACACCCCTTCAAGCACATCAGTTCAAACAGACAACTGCTTTCCTGTAGGGATAGTATAGGGAAAGCATCTGTCTTGGCAGGCGAGTCTCACGTGTGGAGATGTAGTGGATTAGCCGCTGCGGGTTACCCACGGAGTGAAGTGTTCGATGCCTACTGAGATAGATTAGGAGCATATCATTAGGGATATATTAGGGACAGTAGCAGTTGTTATGGTAAATAGCCATTTTAGGGGGGACTGTTGTGGAAATAAGGTCTACACATATTTCCTAGTTAAAGGAAAATGTCTATTTACTCATCTCACACTATGCTATAGAGTTAAGCACACATGTTTAATCAAAATGGCTGCTAGGAGCTTCTAACCCCTTCCTCCCCCTGCCCCTTTAAACACCGACTAACTACCTCGTGCAGCAAGATGGCGCCGGGAAACCGTGGGAGACCCTCATGGACCTGGTGACATGAAATATTGACATCTTTTTAGCTAGTAAAATGTCTATTTACTTCATTTAGTTATACTTAATATTATTCAATAAATTACTAAACTGACCACTAGATGTCACTCAGGAGTACCCCACCCATCGACCAAACACTCTAATTTTCAAGATGGCGCTGGAATCCTGGGGGAGAACTCCATGACGACAGTAATGACATAAGAAGGCACACCCTGTAGGACGTGCTTTGAATAAAACACTTAACACTTAACCAATTATTGATGTATTATTCCATGTTATCTCTGACAATGCTTATGATGTAATTTTGCTTTAAAAGGGACTTGCCGTCCCCTCTGAATAAACTTTCCTCAAGTTATTCAACAACCTGGAACCTGTGTCTGGTGTGAATTACTTCAGGGAGCGTGCACGCATTGTTTCATTGATTTGGCCAGGGGCAGATACACAAAGAAATAATCAATACTTTAATTGATTTTTCCATTTCAGTAGATATACTCCCAATTAAACAATGTATAGTAAAATACATGCATATTTTCATTGGGGGTATATCTAAAACCGCTTGCAAAAGCTGTCTTAGCAAGCCCTCCCCTACTAACCCCTGCCAGAATTTCTGTGGCTGTCCAATCATAGCTTCAATTAGCTAAACAACCAGGAAATAATAGGACAGGTTGTCTGACAGAGTCAGGTGGGTGTAACGTTTATAAAATTGAAAATTAATATTGAAATCTGCCCTTTCTGTAAAATGAGAACAAACTCTTCAGCAAGCTAAAGTGCTGAAAGTGGTCTGGAGTGTCCCTTTAAGATTAATGATGTAATGTTAAGAGTGGACTTGCATTGTACTCCCAGGTAAGAAGTCTGCTAAATGATGTCAGTCAAGGGGAGAAAGGGAGGAATGATATCTATACACTTCAAGTTATCCCCCTTGGTTTTTCCTTTGTCAGCTCATGGATGCTTAAGATATATGTGGGAGACCCCACCAAAGGCATCAATCATACAAGAACATATCTTTTCCCATTAGCTGTTAGAAGTTGCAGACCAAAGTAAACCAATATGTTTTAGTATTTGCCCTGAAATTTTTATGAATGCCATTTATAGGTAGTTTATGTGAAATAAAGAAGGGGAGTCCTGATATTATCTATAAATAAACATATTAAAATGATTGCATCCCCCTTGCCTGTGATAGGTGTGGTTTCCTATTCTCTGACTGACTGAACATGTTAACTTCTCTGTTTCTTATTACAAATAAATAAATATTATTCATGCATTGCCAACTAATGAGGAAATCTTATCTCAGTATCCTAGAAGTGAGATGTATAATGTGTGATTATATGTTTTCCACTCTATGCTGCTTGACTCGTTAGGTGATGTTCCCTAGGAAACAAGGATCTTCCAGGTTAGGATAAACAACAGAAAGAGCTTTAACATAAATCTCTTTCATTTCACACCTCAGTAATGAAAGTTCAGCTTTTCATCCTGCTGGCATATTAAATAATACAGGAAGGAAGAGAGGGACGATTTATAGGCAAATACATTACTCTATGCCTCTAACATGCAGTAACTTTGTTTACTGAGTAAGTCATCACTAATATTCAGATGAAAGTTCAGCAATGGAAGATAGATTTTTGGTTTCAAGTCTGAAGTAGGATTTAACTAATGTTCAGTTAAACAGTGAATTTTGGCCAAGGAAAGACTCTAGTACGAATTACAATTAGACCTATTTCCTCATGTACGTTCAATTCAATTGTATTAAGCAGGCTGGCATGAGATAGTATTAGATGACATATGAACTAACCTAAATAGTCTTCCAGGATTATGCTAGTGTGATCCTGCGTCTACATTTTACATATTCATCCACCTCATGTTTCAAAGGACATTCTAAGCACCATAACCCCTAAAATGTATCAGTGATTACGGTACAAGAAATCTTCAAGTGCCTTTGATTTTTTTTAAAAACAGTTTTTAAGTGGTTTAACGAAAATAGTGTTGTGTGGGGGAGGGGAGTGGCCTGGCCTCTGTCTTTTGCTATTCATTTATTTTTCCTCTCCTCTCTATCATGGGATTCTTGCTCAGTTCTATACTGTATAAACTGGACCTCTGAACAATTTTGAATGCTACTGAGGCCTGTGGGCCTAATGGAGATTTTATCTATTACTACTGGTTATGACGAGATGTGTCTTTTTGCCAAGTCTAAATCTCATTTTTTATGGATTTTGGACTTGTTTGGTATGTTACTGTTCTGTCTATGAAAATGAAAACCTTATAAATAAAAAACAAAAAACAAACAATAAACTGTGATCTTTTGTAATCCAAAGCACAACATGTAAAATCACAAGTCATTTTAGAGTCATCAGGAAAAATACACTATAAGTGAAATATAAATAAATAACACAATTGTGTAGACACAATCAGAAGACAAATTAAATAATGTCAAAACATAAATGTTTACAAGCAGTTTACAGAAAAAAAAAATAAAAAAAAAGGGAAGGACCTTATAATAACATTCCAAGTACATACGTAATAATAAGAAACAATATACACTTCCTTCCCCAAGACAGAGGGTGAAAACTCCAATAAAAGAGAGACAATCCACACTAGGGATGGACCGATATTGATTTTTTTAGAGCCGATACCGATATTCTGTGAACTTTCAGGCCGATAGCCGATATAATTTGCCGATATTCTGTACATTTACCATTTTGGAAAATAAAAACTATTTCTAAAGGTAAATGCACAAAATATACATGCCACGTGTAGTGGATGCAGTGTGTTTAGACAGGGGAGCTGTGTGTGTTTGTGTAGTGGATGCAGTGTGTGTTTGTGTAGTGTGTGTGTATATAATGAAAGCAGAGTGTTTGTGTAGTGTGTGGGTAGTGTGCATAAAGTGAATGCTGTATATACTAAATGCAAAGGGTGTGTGTTTGTGTAGTGTGTGTATATAATGAATGCAGAGAGTGTGTGTATTTGTGTAGTGTGTGTATAGTGAATGTAGTGTGTTTATATAATGCAGAGTGTGTGTGTTTGTATAGTGTGTGTATATAATGCAGTGTGTTTGTGTAGTGTATAAACACTACAGTGTAGTATATAAACACACTACACAAACACACTGCATTATATACACACACTATGCAAACACATTGCAGTATATACACACACTGCATTATATAAATACACTACACAAACACACACTGCATTATATAAACACACTGCAAACACACACACTGCATTACATACACAGTGTGTTTGTGTAGTGTGTGTATATAATGTAGTGTGTGTATATAACGCAGTGTGTTTGTATAGTGTGTGTATATAATGCAGTGTGTGTGTTTGCATAGTGTGTATATAACGCAGTGTGTTTGTATAGTGTGTGTATATAATGCAGTGTGTTTGTGTAGTGTGCATTATATAAACACACTACACAAACACACTGAATTATATACACAAACTATATAAACACACTGCATTATATAAACACACTACACAAACACACACTGCATTATATAAACACTACACAAACACACTGCATTATATACACAGTGTGTTTGTGTAGTGTGTTTATATAATGCAGTTTGTGTAGTGTGTGTATATAATGCAGTGTGTTTATATAATGCACACTACACAAACACACTGCATCATATATACACACTATACAAACACACACACTCCATTATATACACATACACTACACAAACACACTGTGTATATAATGCAGTGTGTTTATATAATGAAGTGCGTGTGTTTGTATAGTGTGTTTGTGTAGTGTGTTTATATAATGCACACTACACAAACACACTGCATTATATACACACACTATACAAACACTACATTATATACACACACTACACAAACACGCTGCATTATATACACAAACTATACAAACACACACTGCATTATATAAACACAAACACACACTGCATTATATAAACACACTACACAAACACATTGCATTATATACACAGTGTGTTTGTGTAGTGTATGTGTATATAATGGAGTGTGTGTGTGTGAGGGGGCATTTTTTATTAAATTTTTTTTTTTTATATTTAATCATTATTTATTTTTGTTGTCCCCCCTCTCTGCTTGTTGCCTGGCCAGGGAGGGGGGATATAGCAATCCCTGGTGGTCCAGTGGCATTGGCTGAGCTGTGGGTTGGCAGGCAGCAAGCGTTTACTCACCTCCCAGCAGCTCCTCCAGCTCCCCAGTGTAAGTCTGCAGGTCTCGCGAGAGTTACACTGGGGAGCTGGAGGAGCTGCTGGGAGGTGAGTAAACGCCTGCTGCCCGCCCCCCCAGTACTGCTGGGTTTGTAATGAGCCTGGCGGTCCTAGGAGGTATTATCGGCAATATTGGTATCTGAATTGGCCGATACAGATATTGCCGAAAATACAGAATATCGGCTGAATATATCGGTAAAACCGATAATCGGTCGATCTCTAATCCCCACAACTCTTCACCTAGCACACATAACACAGTGAAATAAATTATTTACAGAAAGGGGTAACTAAGTTCCATATCAGGTCAAAATATAACCCTAGGGACAAAATGCTGTCAAAATAGCTTTAAAAAAGGAGGTAAATAAAAATGAAAGTGCCTGCTTATAATTGCAAATTTGACAAGGTACGCTATAGAAAATTATCTTACATTGAGACATATACAGCATGAATCGTGAAACATACAGGAGATATAAAGCCGGGTGACAGTCAAGTATGCTGAAGTGGATACTAATTATGTATGCAAAGTGTTACAGATAACTTACAGTTAAAGGAACACTATTGTGTTAGGAATACAAATCAGTATTCCTAATGCTATAGAGTCCTTCTCCCGATCTCTCAATAAGTCACACACATCTCCTCAGGAGCAAAAAATAAAAAATACAGTTTTACTTACCATATTTCAGTGCCAAGGCTCCCTTGGTGCTGCTGACCTCTCCTCCGTGAGGGTCCAATTAAATACTCCTCATAGAGGAGCACTAGGGACCGAATGCACAATGATTCCCATAGAAAAGCATTGAATCAATGGGGGCTTTTATTATTATTATTATTATTATTGCCATTTATATAGCGCCAACAGATTCCGTAGCGCTTTACAATATTATGAAAGGGGATTTAACTATAAATAGGACAATTACAAATAAACTTACAGGAACAATAGGTTGAAGAGGACCCTGCTCAATCGAGCTTACATTCTATAGGAGGTGGGGTGTAAGATACATTAGGACAGGAATGTACAATCAAATAAGGTGGGCTGCCCTTTAGGAGGGGGCAAGAGACGGGTATGTGAGGTAGGGGTTAGTCTTGGAGGCCATAAGCTTTCCTAAAGAGATGGGTTTTAAGGCACTTCTTAAAAGATGCAAGACTAGGGGAGAGTCGGATGGCGGTAGGCAGGCTATTCCATAGGAAGGGAGCCGCCCGCGAGAAGTCCTGCAAGCGCGAGTTGGCCGTACGGGTGCGGACAACGGACAGGAGGTGGTCACGGGCAGAGCGGAGAGACCGAGAAGGGACATACCTGTGGATCAGTGAGGAGATATAAGAGGGGCTAGAGTTGTTCAGTGCTTTATAGGTGTGAGTTAGTGCCTTGAATTGACTCCTATAGCACACAGGAAGCCAATGTAAGGACTGGCAGAGGGGTGAGGTGTGAGAGAACCGACTAGAGAGGAAAATCAGTCTAGCAGCTGCATTCATTACAGACTGCAGGGGTGCAGTACGGCTTTTGGGAAGACCAAGCAGGAGAGGGTTACAATAATCCATGCGTGAAATTATTAGAGCATGGACAAGCTCCTTGGAAGTATCTGGTGCAAGAAAGGGGCGGATGCGGGCTATGTTTTTAAGATGGAATCTACAGGATTTGGCAACATGCTGGATGTGAGGCTCAAAGGTGAGGCCAGAGTCAAGTATGACACCAAGACAGCGCGCTTGCAAGGATGGGCTGATGTTGGTACCACAAACTTGAAGGGAGAGCGAAAGAGGAGGATCAGTATTAGGAGGAGGAAAGACAAGGAGCTCAGTTTTTGAGAGATTGAGTTTCAATGGATCTTCGAACTGCAGACACTGTCTCCAAAAGGGCTAAACATTGATTTCGATATTGGTACCCTTCTATAATCCTATATTTTTATCTTTTTCTGTCTCATTTCTTATAGGTTGAAAATACCTACCGAGTTCAGATACCTACCTCGTGAGGGTCCCTTTAAATACTCCTCATAGAGGAGCACTAGGGACCTAATGCACAATGATTCCCATAGAAAAGCATTGAATCAATGGGGGCTTTTGCGTCACATGACTGGGTATTAGTCAGTCAGTATGACAGCCACTAGAGGAGGAGCTAACCCTGCAATGTATACACGGCTGTTTATCAATAACTGCAATGTCTTATGTTGCAGGGCTAAGGAAGCAGGGACACTGCACCCAGACCACTTCATCACAATGAACAGGCCGCAAAATGTTAGAGTGGTAGTAAGTGGGGTTTTTGTTGGAAATGTGTCCAAGAGTATACAATATATTAAGACTTTGCAGGACTAGGAAAACATTACTATTTGTGTATTTTAATTGCAACCCAATCCTGTATACTTGGTATATAATTATCCTCCTATATTTTCAGTAGCAGCTTAATTGATTACCTGGTCTATTCACAGCCTCTGGCTATACATATATTCAAATCTGGACATAGATATTATTAGGTAATCCACAATGTTTAGCTTTGTATAGACCAAGGGTATCATCGCAATGGGAGCGCTTTAGCATGTATTGCCTTGTTAAAGGTTTTAAACCTAAATGTCAATGATAAAGCTTGCCGAAATTTTTACAGCGTGATACAAATGAAAAGGTTAGCTACATTAACACTGGTAATGTACTAATGCATTAATGTATGTGTACATATGTTTTTGGCACTATATAACTTCATGTTAAAATATCTATGTATCATACCATAGTAGTTTTCCTGCCTCTACAACTGTAACATGTTTACTAATCTTCACTCCGTATACATTATTGCAGCAGCATTTGTTTCTGCAAACAAAAGGTAATTACCAAATGCTTCAATGAGCAATACAATTCTAAAACACAATCACATTCTATGAACAACCGCAGTCCAGCAGATATGACACTGAATATTTACATATATGTAACCCAGGACTTGACAAATTTGCTTTGAATCTAGGAGCAGCTAATGACACAAAAACATTTTTTAAAGGTCCTATGTAGTACCCAGAACCACTACAAGTTAATGTAGTGGTTCTGGTGTCTATAGCCTGCCTCTGCAGGTTTTTAAATGCAAATACTGCTTTTACAGGGAAAAGGTAGTGTTTACATTGCTGCCTAGTTACACCTCTCGTCGATGTCAGTCAGATGCCAACTAGAGGTGCTTCCTATCTCAGTGCTGCACAGTGTGCACCGCCTATATTTAGCGTCTCCACACCCTGCATGGAGGTGCTGTATGTTCACCAAGATTTTTTTTCACTTTAACATAAACATAGAAAACAAACAGAGACAAATACTAAACAGCAGTTCTGGATTGCAATATATTATATGTGAAGATCATAAGATATTCTGTAACCCTTTAAAATGAAAGAGCTGAAATAAGAATTAGAACTGGATATTGAATGGTTTTATTTTTGAAAATATATAATATGCATGGCCTTTGTGAGTTTTACCTTAAGCTAAAATATTTATAGGCTGGTGTGCAGGGTAATTTAATAACCCTTACTGCACTCTGCAGAAATCCAGGCCTTGGGAGAATTTAATCAAGGCATGCAGTAAAAATTACATATTCCAATAAATCTGATATTTCATACTACAGCTTCAAGCCATAAAAGTTTCGGATATTCATCTTCTTAGATTTCACCTAAACAGTTTGCGGATGTGTTACGTCAGACTAAAATGCTGAAATATAGCTTACCTTATTTCTACATTTTGTATGCTGATTTATAAAAAGGCTACTCCAGAGCTCTCAAGATTTGTCTGTCTAGCTATTTATACCTCTCCGGCATCTGCCTGGTGATTTGCACTTAAATCAGAGGTGAATTTACAATTATTGTTCCCCCAGGGACGATACAAGTAATTCCTTTACTTAGTCTGTCCTTTTCCTAGTATCTTTTCCTATAGTATGATAAGCTTAATTGTTCAATTAAATTCATTGCTGTCACCTATCATTACAATGTCCTATCAAGACAATCCCAAGAGGTCAAAGCTTAATATCTTCACCAACCTAGAATAGAACAGTTCTGGACATGTTGGGCATTACTATACTGTAAGCAATATACAAGCCAGCATCATCTCATGAGATGAAGTGAAGCCCCCTCTAACATCAGTCTTCCATGATCCCAGGTCCCAGGTTTCATCTACACTTGTTTGAGATAACTGCTCTATTTTGAATAGTAGTTATAACCCATAGACAGCCAGTAAAGTGAACAAACGTGACTTTGGCAGGCAGAAATCATGACAAAATGGGTTAACACACACA